GCCTCATTATATGAAATGTACTGTTCTCTGACCTAATGAAGGGAATTTGAATTGTTATGTGTATGAGATGAAAATAGTTTTTTTAAAAAAACTGCAGTCCAGAATTAAAACTTAAACATTTGGACACAATATTCCTCAAAAGCTTAAATTTTTAAAATATTTCTTGTTTTTATAATATATTTAAAAACATCTTCTAGTCAGTCCTCAACCCAATTTCCCTTTCTTTATAAACATACTTCTTTATAAGAATAAAGTACAAGCAGTAATAAATGTTTGGTTATTTCAATCAGAGTGTTTAAACTATTAGTGTAAGCACTAAAAACTCTAGCTAAAATACTTTTGTAAGATTAGGTTCTCAAGATTAAAAGCATAAAGTTGTACATTTTCTAGTGAAATCATAATATAGCTAACTTGAACAAAAGAGAGAGAATAGAAATCTGATTTTACTTTTCAATTGTCTATTTTTTAAAAAATACCAGAAAACCAGGTTCTCCCTAGGGAGGATTTAAAAAGGAATGGTCATAATGCTGGCATTTCCATATTTTCAGCCAGAAGAACAATGCATTATTTTAATCAAGCATAAAAATTTCGAATCACTATTTTTCAAAATAAGTATGAAGTACAGTCACTGGGGCTAATTTTTCATAATTCATTGTATAATACCATATTCATGTATACTTTATAGATATTGTCTAATACTAGCCTCTGAGTTTCATTTGAGTACTTATTGAACAGTAATTTGCTTGAATATATAGGGATTGAATGGCAATACATTACATTGCTTGATTAATTTTAATTGAAAAAATAAATGCAGGCAGTTTTACAATTAATGAGACAAAAATATTGCAAATCACTTCCAAGTAATTACAATTGACTCTTTTCATTCTCATTTGCCATCATTACAGGAAGCCTCTTTGGTTTATAAAGCCATATTAGAATTATCTGTTTGTTTTTCAAAATTTGAGGGGTTGAGAAAATTTTATTTTTAAAAATTATTGCAACATATATGGCTTTATATTTTAAATAACATAAAAACTTACATAAAATTTACATTTTTTGAGGTAAACAAATATCTGTTCATATATGAACTCTACTGCAATACTCATGCATTTCATAGTGAAAGATTCTCTCAAGTTTAGAAATGTTCCCATGGCATCAAGCTAGAGGGCAATTCAAAATCAAATTAACATGCCAAAAAATAACTCCAAACCATGAAAATATTATAAATTAGTAAAGAAGCTAAAATTATTAAGGTGGTTTTATTATTCTGAAATCTCTTTCTGCATTCTTATTAAATCTTTATGGACATTTCCTCTTCTGATTTAATAAAACTATCTGATTCATGAGACAGAACTAATATTATATCCCGCAAATGAAAATATTGATGAGCACACTGTAAAACACAATTCCCTGGTTTTGATCTCTGGTAACTTAAGTTTGTTTTGACAATGACGAAATCAATTTCAAGTTCAGTCAGGAATGTGTGTACTTGCAATTTTCAACAAACTGAGAAAGTATTCCTTTAGTTAGTTTGTTTGCCTGGCACTAGTTGAGGTGCCTGCCATTCATACACTTGAATCACTCATAATTATGCCCTGAGAGAACATAACCTAGATTTTTTTTTCTTTAATGCGCCCAAATTCTATTTTCACTACTGATAAGAATGGTAAGAAAACACCATTCTTTAAAAAGTAAAATATAAACATATATACATATATATGTGTGTATACTAAATACTAAAGAAAAGTAATAAAATGAACAATTCTGCACTAGTTTCACTTTCCCCATTACATCCTTTCACTTCCCATCATCCTTCTTTCCCTTGGAGGTAAACATCATCTAGAATTTTGTATTAATCACTCATTTTCTTTCCTTTATACTTTTGCCATCAATGTAGGTATTTCCAAATAGCATTTTTTTTTTCAATTTTGCCAGCTTTGAGTTTGAGATAACACTGTAGAGTTTGTCAATGGTGGTTCAATGTTTTTGGCAAACATGCATGTTATTGTCAGTAGCTGATATCATTCATTTTCCCAACTGTAGAGTAATACTAACATAGAAATATATATATATATATATATATATATATATATATATATATATATATTTCCTACCTATTTGATGGTTGGTGGATACTTGAGTTCTCTCCAATTTTAGATTATGAAAAGAACTGCTATGAATAATCTTATATGGGACTTTAGCTACATGTGCACTAGTAATTCCCTTGGACAAACGTCTAGGAGAGGAATTGCTGGACTGAAGGATATGCACAACTTAAACATTCTAAGTGCCAAATGAATTCTACTATTTATACTGCCACCAGCTGGGAGTGAGGTTTCCAGGGCTCCAGATCCTCATCAACAATGGCATTGTCACATATGGAAAGCTGTACCACACTGGTAGGCAGGAACTCTATGTCATGGTGTTTTAATTTATATTGATCTGATTACTTATCAGTTTAGCCAGAGATACTTTTATTGGTTATATATTTTATAAAAAAATATTCTTCTGGTTTGTGCTTGTCTTTCTATTCTCTTTAGGTGTTCTTTGATAAACAGAAAAGTTTTAAATTAATATAGTAAATTTTTTTAAAAATTTATTTTTCACTTTTTGGCGGACACAACATCTTTGTTTGTATGTGGTGCTGAGGATCGAACCCGGGCCGCACGCATGCCAGGCAAGCGCGCTACCGCTTGAGCCACATCCCCAGCCCTACATCCCCAGCCCTAATATAGTAAAATTTATACGTAGTTTTCTTTAAGATCTACAAATTTTTGATGTGACTATCTCACAAAAACACTCTTCCCTAACCTATGTCAAAATTGAGGATGTATTTATAACTTACCTGGAATTGATATATGTATAGATTCATAGAGAACCAATGTCTATTTTTTTCCACATGGATAGGCAATTGTCCCCAAACCATTCATTGAAGAGCCCATCCTTTCTCTCCTAATCAATGCCACTTCTAGAATTTATCAAGTGCTCTTCCTTTCTCATCTCATTAGGATGTGTTTAGAATGATGTCTTTTGTAGAATTCTTTAGAACTGCTGAGTCTTACAACTCGTCAATGTGTTTTAACAGTTCCTATATCTCTATTCAGAATCCCAACTGAACATTATTACATATCTCCATTTCTCCTCCATGTGTCCTACATATTTTATATTCTCTTGTTTGTATTTCCCCACTTTTAATTATCTGGCTTTAATCAATGATAGTTCCTTTAGTTTTACCTTTCAGTGTGCAATTGTCTTGCTGCATCTACATCTAATCTGCTTTAAAATTCCATCCACTGAGTTCTGTGGCTTTTTTTGCAGGGGGCGTACTCAGGAACACTGAACCATATCCACTGAACCACTGAACCATATCCTCAGCCTTATTTTGTATTTGGTTTAGAGACAGAGTCTCACTGAATTGCTTAGCACCTCACTTTTGCTGAGGCTGGCTTTGAGCTCATCATCCTATTGTCTCAGCCTCATGAGCCGTTATAGGCATGCAGCACTGTGCCCAGCTCTCCTCCTTTTGAAAGTGTTATGTTGATTGCTTAGAAGTTCTCTGGTTCATTTTCAAATCTAGTTCCTTATTCACATTTACCAACCTTTTATTTCTTTAATTCTATTAAGCACTGTCAGTTTAATTCAGCATTTTATAATTTCAATATCTGACAATATTTCAGATCTGTTTTTCCTCATCTATGATTTCTGCTGGTTCTTAGCGATAGTACTTATTTCCTCTTTGGAGGCTTTTGTTTTGTTTTTATTCTTTTCCTAGTATTAGCAACTCACTTTCCAGAGCACTTTATCTGTGGAAATTATCTGAGGATATAATTAAAATCAATGTCTTCCAGGGAAAAACAGTATTCCCCAATCTCCTACTACCATTGCTAAAATTTTAAATTTACCAATTAAAAAATCTATTCATAGTGTAATTGGCACATTTCTCCTTTTCCTATGAGTTTTCTCAGTGATGTGATTAATAGTGTTTAAAAAATATTATTTACATACAGTTAGAAAATACTTAACCTGGTGTTTTAATAGTTTTAATCTGAAGTGTCATTCACAGTATCTAATTTGCTCTAATGCTAGAATGAGAAATGTTAAACACATTTTGAGCCCACTTCCCCCCTATTTTCTTCCTTCCTATCTTCCTTTCTTTCTCTCCTTCTAGTACTGGGGATTGAACCAGTGGTACTCTACCACTGAGTTCCATCCCCAGCCCTTTTTATTTTTTATTTGAGACAGAGTTTCATTAAGTTGCTGAGGCTGCTTCAAGCTTGCCATCTTCCTGCCTCAACCCCCCCAAGTAGCTAGGATTACAGATGTGTGGCATTGTGACCAGCTTCCTTATATCTTTTTCTTAACCCAGAGTTGGCTAGCTATTATAAAAGAGCTGTATGGGATTCAAGGTTACTTCTCTAAAAACAGTATTTCTGGTTTACAAGCGTTCACAGCAATGACAATTCTGGGGTCTACCCTTGAATTCTAGCAGAAATATAATTAAATGACCTCAACTGTTCACCAAGGTAGATTCCAAATTGTGGCAAGCCATTGAGACCCAAAGAAGTACAACACACCAGAAGCTAGATTTCCTACTGTTTGAAAATTCCTTTAGTTATTGGGATCCAACCCTGAAGCTCTGCCATATGAAAACTGTAAAGAGCTCCGAGGTCTGAAGCTTCATAAGGACAACTGTATACTCCCTACAGGAAGTTGTCCAAGTTCTCCCTTTTCTTGATGCTTTTATTTCACTTCTTGGATTACCCCTCAGACTCTGATTCTCACCATCATCCTTCCCCTTTCTTCTTTTCATGGTAATTTGTCTTCTACGTACCTTTTCCAATTTTGAACCATTTTCCTTTTTTTTTTTCTTTTTCCTGGTCATTCCTTGTTCTCCTTAAGACTAGTCTAGATTTATAAGCTGCAGTAAGAATTCAAAAGGGAATTTCCTCCTACCTCCAGTTAAAGGGTTTACTACTCACACCAGGTTGCCAAAGGGTTACCTGAATTGGCCTTCCATCAGGTGTCAGCACCTCTTCTGAAAGTTCCATCATCTTCAAGGCCATCAGAGCGATGGGTTTGGCATGGCAGAGGCTTTTTCTGTGGAGTCCTGCCGCAACACAGTACGCATCACCTATTGTTTCCACCTGCAGCAATCAGACAAATCAAATGCAAACGCTATGAAAAGGAGCCAGAAGAGATATGATTAGTTATCTGCAATCACAAATGTTGCTGAAAAACATGTCAGGCAAACATCAATAAATTAAGCAATTAGACAACTGAGTATAATCATAGCAGAGTTTGCAAACAGCCACAATCAAACATTGACATCTCACTCCAGCACTGCTCATTATCACCATAGATGATCACTGAAATTAGGAGCAACTGGAATATGAAATAATTATCCCCCACAAAAATACTGATTGTATTGTCAGTATTTTACCTAGACAATTTCCAATAATAATAATAACCTTTTCAAGAGCCAATCTCATCATCTTCAAATTTTCAACAGTCCTTCTCTGCAAAGCCTTGTTTTCCATTATTTCTACCTTCTCAATTGTTCTACACCTTTTCCTATATCTGTAGTTTGTTGTCAAGTCTGATCTTACTTATTCTTAAAAATTATAATGTCTAAAATTTCTTGAATTTATACTCCATACTATTAATTGTGTCATGCAGTATATACACATTCTCTCATTTTATTTTCAAAAATATCCTAAATGGAAGAAACTAGTCGTAGTTATATTGAAGAGAGGAGAAATTGAGGTACAGAGATCCATCCATAACTGTATAATTAAATAGTTAACAGGTACTTTTAGGGACTTTTATGGGCCCTATTTTAATTCTATTTTCAGTATATGTGATGATTTGCCATTTTTGTTCTTAAATATTTAAAATATTTATCCTGGGTTAAAACCCCCAAATTTCCAAAGCATAGAACATGACACAAAAGTTAGAAATAACTTTTTTTCAAAGTAAAGTTCTCTAATTATCCACTGAAGATTTGGTGGTAAAATACTCAGTAGTTCTAATATTATTAATTAGACCTAAATGATAAATATTGTATTAAGTGCCCAATATCACCTTTTCTGTGAAGCCCTCAATGGTCCCTTCATTAGTTCTTAGAAAGAGAACTAATATTTATTTTGTTTCAACAGTACTTTCCATATATCCCTGCTGTAGCATTCATCATGGGCTACAGTCAATATCTATTCATCTATAATCAATAAGTATACCCAGCTAAGTCATGAGCTCTTTAAGGATGGTACCGTATCCTTTTCCTCCCTGTATTCATGATGCCTAGCATAGTGTCTAAAATATGGTTATTCGCTAAATGTCTATCAAATGAATAAGTAAGTAAATCAATCATGTTAACCATGATTAAAATACCAATCTAATTATTTACTTATTTTCACTATTAATTCTTGAGCACCACGTAGATCTCTGTTCCATGTGTATATGTATATGAAAAAATACCCAGGGACTCAATGATATTTTTACCATGAATATAACAAGAATTACAAAATATCTATTAAGATTTAATATCAATCATTAGATTTCATGTGAATGCATCTAACTCTATATTATTAAAGATGAAGTACCTTAAACAATTTGAGCACTAACTTAACAAAATTATGAGAATATTCATAAAGCTCATGGGACTACAACTGACAAACTTATCACTTTATTAGCAGAATATCATCACTTGATTTTCAGAAAATATGTATAAAAATGATTAAATACCCTGAGACCCATCATGGCATTCAAAATTTTACCTGAAGACTTGTTTTCAAATGCTGGAAAAATAGAAATAAAATTATGCTCTAAGAGTAGAAAGACAATGTAACGTGAGTTGGCAAAGGCTTTTTTCCATAGGTCACAGTATACTTCCCCAAAAGAATTCTCAATGAGGAAAAAACCTAGTAAATAATCAACAGCTAAAATGTGGCTATTTATCGTTTTCCCCCAAATAACATGGTGTCCTTTGATATTCCTCATGTTATCCTATCCTTTTATCTTTATATACAATTTTAAAATCTAGATTGCTGTTAGCTATCTACCTTGAAATTAACTTCTGATTTTCAGATATCAGAAGTCAGGGGCAATAAATTACTTGTACAAATTAAATTGCTTTGTATTCACTCTGAACATACAGGTTCCTGGAACTTGATCTCTTCTTGGAATTTCTATTAGCATCCTCTTCCCCATCACCATCATCTTTCCAGCAAAAAGCAATAGTTTCATTAAAAGGGTACTTCTAAAATTTGCACCACAAGAATTCATAAAGATTACTAATGTGTTGAACTTTCTCCTTAGAATGATATAATGCAATAGAATGGAGAAGATGGATTATTGTGACCAGTTGCTATAACAATAATTTTTTTTGTAAAATAAGTGAAAGATTGAAAGGCAAAGTTTACATATAACAAATTCACATTAACACTTATACATGATTATTTGAACATTTAAAAAAATTTGAAGTCAGATCAGTAATCAGAAATAATAGGACAAGGAAGTTAGGTAAGAAAAAGATATTTTAAAAATGACACATAGTAGGATGTGGAATGCTCACAATAAATGTTTATAAATGCTATTTACAAACACCCAACATATATGAAAAAAATCCTAAAAGACATTGATTTAATAGACTAATCTAAATTGTATTCCAGCAACCACATAAACTCCAAATATTTATGCCTTAAGACAACAAAGATGTGTTAGTCAGGTTTTATTTGTTGTGACTGAGATACCTGACAAGAATAACTTAAAGGAGGAAAAGTTTACTTTGGCCTCAATCCATGGTCAGCCAACTCCATTGCTTGGAACCTGATTTGAAGCAGAATATAACAACCTAAAGTGTGGAAAGGAAAACTGCTCAGCTTGAGTGAGCAAGGAGAGAGAGACTAAATGTAATCTCCAAGAGCATGCCCCCTTACTTCCTCCAGTCCTGCTCTATCAATATACAGTTGCCACCAGTAATTTATTCAAATTATTAATCCATCAAATGGGTGAGTCCACTGATGAGGTTAAGCTCTCATAAACTAATCACTTCATCTATGAATATTGCCACATTGGATAACATGTTTCCAATACATGAGTTTTTTGGGGGGATACTTCATATCTAAACCATAACAAAATGTTTATTTCTGATTCATGCTTAAACATCCATGCACAGGGTGACAGGTGACACCTTGTGCCACATCATTCCAGTAATAAGGCTAACAGAAACTCCACATCTGGAACTGGTTGCCATGGCAGAGGGAAAGATGTTCTGACAATTTGTACAAGAGCTCTTAGAGCTTCCTCCCAGATGTGACACATGTGACTTCTCAAGATTCATTCACAAAGCAAGTCACACTGTCACACTTAATGTAAAGGGATGGGAAAATGCAAGCTGCCTTGTGTCCAGAAGAGTCAGAGATAAATTTGGTGAAAAGCACTAATGAGAACATGGATGGACAGGAAATCACGTACAAATTTTAAAATACCCAGGTGTCTGTAACCTGGAAATAACATTCCTATGTAATGTTTTTCTTTCCTTCCAGATATATTTTTAACATCGTAACCTGAAAATCTTGGTGAGACACTACCACCTTAATAATACTGTTTTCCAGCTCTGTACAAATTTAGTTAGAAGTGAATTTATGTGGAAATTTTAGTGGGTCCCCTTCAAAATAAGTATTTGACTTTGTTTCCTGAGAAAAGCATTATATATTCATTCCAATTGCTTCATAGGGTTATTTCCTTGAGCTAAACCAAAGTGAAAAAGGTAGACATGGTAAACAAACTACACAAAAACTGTTCAAAAAGTTGACTACATTCTGAGTTCCTTTATAATTGCCTTGTCTTTTTATATAGTTTTAAACACAACAGACATCATCTAAAATAGTGCATCTCATTTATTTTCAGCATCTCCAACCTGTTCTGGAATAATACTGGAATAGAATAAAGATGGCTAAACTAAGCGTAGAGATAGAATAATACTTATGCAAATATATGACAAACATTTCATCCTTTTCTGAGCACAGACTAGGAAGCTTAAGCAAGAAAATTATTGTGTACAAGTGCTGCCATGCTATTACTATAGCTGCTTTTATCAAACTTTAAAGAATTCACCTATTTTGGCATCTATGGGCAACACTTTTTAGTCAAAATCAGCACATTATTCCAGAAATAAAGGTGGTGTAAATAAATTTCTTAGAGCTATGCTTTCACGTTTTGGTATACTTTATTTTAGTTTTAGATATTATAGTTTCAGTTAGATTCTTAGTCTCTATATTTTCTCTTTCCCTTCCAGGCTAATGTTCAAGAAATAGCTGGAAAGTTTATACCTCAGGACTCAGCCCTCTCTTTTTTTCAAGTTTTCTTTCCCCTATTCTAGTTCTATACCCTTCTTTATTTCTTTTGTGGGAGAACTGTAATTTTCTTATTTACATTTTAATTTTCTTGTTTACATTTTTCTATCACTATCACAGTACTTATTGTGTGTATGTGTGTGTGTGTGTCTGTGTTTGTGTGTAGGCATTTGTGTGTAGGCATTTGTGTTTATACTCTCCCCTGATATTTAACTTTTTATTCCTGGACCCTAGTACAGTGTGCCTAAAAGCATTCGACAAAATGCTTTCAATTGTACCCAGTTTCTTCAGTTGTGGGGGAGTAACGTCTGATATCTCCCAAGTAAGTGTCTCAATTGCTAAACTCAGGACCACCTGTGTAAGAATGAACTACAAGGTGCTTGTTAAAAATCAGGTGCCCTGGAGCTGCACGGCTTTACCAAATCAAAACCTAAGTTTAAGGCCAGCTATTTGCATTTTCACAAACTCCCAAGTATTTTTTGATTCACCAAATTTGAAGACTAGGTATATGATGTGAGTTTAAAACAGTACAATACTCCTCCAGATAGTCACCATTTTTAAAGCACCAATGGACTTTCAGAGAGAAGTGCTGTTACCCTGAGCCCTGTCCTTTCTAGTAGATTCCCTCTCTGTCTTTCACTCTATCCATACTCTATCCACAGAGGTAATAAGCTTTCCTAGACATTTCCTTATTTGTCAGGACTACAGATTACAACTCCCGGCTCAAATACAAGCTCTAGTGTTTCCTCTCTCTCACACACACCAAATGCTGAGAATGATCTAAAACAGTA